ACGCACACACACACACATACACGCCTTCTTTTTTCCTACTTCTCTCCCAAGTGGCTGTAGTGTTTTTGTCTTTGTTGAAATAATTGCAGTGATTTTCAAGACCGTTGTCATGGCAACGCAGAGGTTGATGCATGTTGACAGAATCTGTTGCAGGGCGACAGAGAGACTGAAAATGGGAGATAAGAGGTGGGAGGAGAAGTGATGCGTGTGTACGTGCATGCGCACGTCTGTGAAAGCGATGATGGTGATGGTGGGGGGATGGTGGCCTCGTAGAAGGGGGGTTCATGTGTTTCAATCCATATGATGAATGGAGATGAGCAGTATGGGACATCTCAGCCTGATAGAACAAGGCCCAAGATCAGCAAAGAACAGTTATGAGTGTATTGTGTGAGCGGAGGATAGAGAGAGAGAGAGAGAGAGAGAGAGAGAGAGAGAGAGAGAGGGAGGAAAGCGGGGTGCTATTTTAGTCTGGGCGTTGTCATGGAAACTGCAGCCTCACTACAAATGGAGACATCCAGAACACATGGATCGTCAAACAAATGGCGTGCGTAGGGCCCAGCGTGAAGCTACGCCATGGCTGTGCGACACCGTGCCATCTCAGTCGAACCCACCCCCACCCACCCACCGTGGCGTCTTCTTCATCACAGACACTGAATATCAATGGGGGAGTAGCTTTTAGGGAGTGGAGGGTGGAGGAGGGGGACAAGGGGCTAAGTGACAGGCAATGGTGTCCATTCAGGCAGTGAGTCAGAGCCACTAGCTCGCTGTCTTTTAATTAACAGTCCTTTCCACACCTCCTTCCCTCCTCTCCTTTCCTCTCCTCTTGTCTCTTCTTCTGTCTACCCCTTCACTCTCTGTCTGTCTCCCATCCTCTCCCTCTTCCTCTCTGCCTGCCTCTATCTCTTTCTCCCTCACCCCCTCTCTCCCGCGCTCTGAAGGACGGAGGTATTCCCACATTTCTCCGTTGCTATAGCAACACCGCAGCGAGAACAGGAAAGAGAGGATGCAGGCAAGGAGGAGGAGGAGAAGGAGGGGAGGATGGAGACGTGGGGGTAGAGAGGGAGGGGGAGGGGTGTGGAAGCGGCCTAAAGATGAGGGGATGTGTGAACAATGCTAATGCTAATGGTAGCAGCAGCGGCAGAGCAGCCAAGTGTTGGTGAATTCCCCTCTCGTCGCATCATGCTGGGCACAGACTCACATGTCACATCCACATTTGCATAATTGCCAGTGGGAATCTATTTGCTCTGTATGTTGCTATGGCCATTGATATCTTCCACAAAATGATACATGAGAACTGTCTCAGCTCAGCCATTTGACTCTTTTTTTTCTCCTTTTCTCTGTGACATTGACCAAACTCTGCAGAGCCTGCATCCAATTTCAGCCGTTTTTTTCGAGCATTATTTTAATATAAAGAAACAGACTCCTACGTGATGTACACAGTTTGGGGGTGAACTGCTGTGTGCTTATTTTCCATTGATTCAATCAGTGCAAACCAATGCAGATCAAATGAGCCTCTAGACAAGAAGATCTATCTATGTTGAATACACACAGAATGGGAAGACCAGAGCTATTTCATATCGATGTCATCATCCCATTCAATCAGAAGAGAACGCAATCTCATTATCTCTACATATATATCGCAAGACATTAGAACAAAGCAGTGTTGCATCAATTTTCCAACATGTAAAGATTTGTAAGCTCATGTGGCCTGCAGAGGAGACGAGCGCCAACATCCTCCTCTTTCCTCAAAACATGTGTTTGTCTGGTTTGGCATATTGTACAAAACTCAATAGATACATATCAGCGCAGACTGAAATGAATATCCCTTCATACATGCCACACAGCCCGACATGTATAAATGCTTAAGCTGTTTGGTGCTAGGAGTTTGCTGCATGTCAACTGTCTCGCTGTCCTCTCCTCTCAATCAATAACTCATCTCTTGACGTCAATATTATTATCCCCCATGGGACAAAAATGTCCTTCTTTAGGACAAAAGGAGAATACGCAAGATGGGAGGAAGGGGATGGGAGAAATAGAAAGAGGAGTTTGTTCTGCCTTCATATGTTGTTGTGTTATCCATGCAAGGAATCTCCATGCCTTTCTTTTTTCTTGGTCAGTGTCCACTGTAATAACCCATGCGTTGATCTCTTCCTGGCTAGAGAGAGCTAAAACAATGTTTACAGAGTGACAGGGCAGGTTTTTGAGACATTTTGTCATATACGGCTGGTGTATTGTGAAGCCATATTTTCCCACCTATTGGCAAGGATTTTCTTGTGAATTCAGCCCTGAGCCATCATCTTATACATAATCAAACAATATGTCAGTAACACATAGAAACACTTTTTAGCATAGCATTTACTGTAGCAGATGTTATCCAATAGCCACAGTGACTTAAAGTAGTAGTTTAATATTTTGGGAAATTATTTGCTTTTTTGCCGAGAGTTAGATGAGAAGATTGATACCTCTCTCATGCCTGCATTGTAAATATGAAGCTACAGCCAGCAGCCAGTTATCTTAGCTTAGCATTAAAACTGGAAATGGTGGGAAATAGCTATTCTCTGTCTGAAGTTACCAAAATACACCTAGAAATTTGTTTAATCCGTACAAAAATTTAAACGTGAAAAAAAAACAGGTTGTGTTTATAAAGGGGGGTTATGTTCTGGACTATTTCGCGGTCGGGACCAGTAACTTATTAGAGTCTCCCTGTGAGGTTTCGCTTTTACACTGCGAGACATTCTTTTTGGTAAAAATGTATATAACGTGTTACTCAGTAAACTTTAGAGGTGCTGCAGGTGGATTTTGTAGCCTTTGGACAGAGCCAGGCTTTCCACTGTTTCAAGTCCTTATGCTAACCAAAGCTAACGGCTGCTGCCTATAGCTTCAGATTTACTGTTTAGGCATTAACTTTTGGCATCTCACTGTTGGCAAGTTAGCAAATTACTATACTTTCCCAAAATGATGAACTATTCCTTTAACAGAGTGAATATTACTGGAGCATCAACAGGGTAAGTAAAAGTTACTGCATAATTCAGAGTGCCATAAAAAAGCAAAAATGGTCTCAACATTAACCAAGCAAAGTAATAACATTATCCCTATCTGCAGTTATGGTAAATCAATACTCAAGTAAGTGTATCTAATAACAACATCAGCACAGTGCCTGAAAAGTGTGTTTGT